TTTCAGATCGATATCACAGGTGAGGTTAGGTTTAAAGTTAGAACTGATCGCTTTGATTCAGCACAGGATTTTTGGATTCCCAGGTTAGAATTTCTTTTAATTAGTTAATTTTGTTAACGTCTATTAATATTTCTTGTTTGTTTTCTTAGTCACTAAATACGACTTATTTTTTCGATGACGCGTATTCTGTATTATAGAGATCTTTTGAGCCAAAAGCTGACTTCTTTTGAACCGCAGAGATTGGAAATCAGAATGACGGATCGTGTTGGTTCTTATCTAGACATGTATGGAAGCGTCACAGTGGCTCGAAGTGGTTCAATCGTTTTGGCTCTCTGGGTATATGTTTTACATTTTGCCGAAATCAATAAGAGATTGTCGACGTTTATTTTGAGACTACAGTTTCTTCTTGAGATCATTAGTTTTTTGAAGCACGGCCGCCAGAACTTTTTAGGTCCCGTACTGGATTGTAAATAAATCAGGTATTCCCTTGATCCTGAGACAAGAAGCAGCTAGCAGTATTGCTGCAGGCCAACATGAAGAACATGAGCGTGCAAAAGATCGCAATCCATTGATGTTTTCATTTGCGGACGTTAATTGTCCAAATCGGTACTTTTTCAAAGTGTGCCATATTCTTAAATTTACTTATGCACTTTTGGTTTTTCAAGGTGCTCGATCCGTGTTGGCAATCAACATTTGCGACAAAAAGGCTATAAACCGTTATTTAGTGAAGGATTTTCTTTAACTGCTGGAGTACAATCATTGAAACTACTTGTATCTCATAATCAGAAACCCACTTTGTAAGCTACTGCAAGATTAACCGCAATTGTCTCATATATTATTGTATGAATAGCAGAAGACTTGCTTTTTTTCCACAACTGACTTATTTCTTCGGTAATCTACAATTTTCAGAGTGTATAATATTGGCGTAGAAGTGCGGCAGGGAACCGGACGGTACAAAGACACTCAAGTTGTTCTTCTTACTCCACGGTATCAGATAAACAACCAATCTTCTTTCGAGCTGCTTTTAAGCCACGTAGACGACATCAATGTTTGTTCTTCTTATAATTGAGTTTAAACCTTCTTATAATTGAGTTTAAGAGTAGTTAGAATTAGTTTTCTATTTTTCACCTGGCGACAGCCAAGAAATCTCGTGCATCTGCGCCGAACAATTTATTTGCAGAATCCAGAACAGAATATTAAAATTGCCAGTAACTGTAATTACACCTGGAACGAAAAATTCGAGGATAGGCAGTTGTTATGCGTTAAAAGGGTTGATATCAAACACTGGAGCTGCCCGTTCCCAATTGATAAAATTGGGTCTTTCCATGTCACTATGAGGTTTTGAATAATCATTTTTGAAGACAAATGTTTTTTAAGATTAATAATTTTGTTTTAATCACCTTTGTTCAAGGGATTCTGACGACACTCCACATTTTGTTCGGGCAGAGATCATCTTATGCAGTGCTGTTTTCTTTGTCACTTTTACTGATGCTAGGTTCTTCCCTCCTCCGATACAGCTTGTTAACCTGTCAGAAGTGCCAGTTCTTTATCACCAAAAAACGAGGAGGTATCAGTTGAGCACTTTGGTTTAGGAGTTCTCCAAAGTGTTTTTTAGCACTTCTTACTTGGACAACAACAGTGGACAATAAAGTTGTTCCAGTAAATTTATTTCAGTGACACCTCAGCTTTGATTTTTCTTTTTTTTCGTTTTGTCACAAATTTTTTATGCCTTTGACGGGAACGCTTAGTGTATTATTAACTCTATATGATTATGGTTAGTGGTAGCTTGTTGTAGGCTTGAAAAAAACCATTTGCGAACAATATGCAAGGCAAATAGCGTCGTCGATTACGCGTGGGATGATCCTTATGGAGAAAAACTTTTAATATTACAAGTGTTCGAAAATAAATCTAATACGTATGATCCGCAAAAGCCGGGTCTCAAAGCACCTTTAATTTATGACAACGACGTCTACATCAAATTTGCTCAATCATTTACAAAGTACATTTTCACAGCTGTTGTTCGTGTTAGTTCCATTCTCATGTTTGCTTCAATAAATTATCTTTCCTTTTATAATTTGTTTTTTTTCTAGAATTAGTGGCAGTGCGTTTACGGACGAATATGAATTGGTTTTAGAAGTTATGCAGAAGGGGAAAGTAATGTTAAACAAACTGAATCTTAGTGACAGTAGCAGAAATCAGCTATGGCGCTTTGCAAAAGATGGCTGTTTGGAAAACATAGGGATGTCTAACAGAGCGAGGCAGGGCGAACGTTATGTTTTGGATGTTCTTGACAGACGTGGAAACCAGTTAATGATGCTGAAGCGCAACACTGCAAGAGACCAGTATCAAAAGTGGACTTACACTCCTGTAATTTTTTTGCTATTTAGTTCTGCAGCTTTTTTAGTGCAAAACTGGACTAGATTTTTTTCTTGTAATTTATCTGTTTTTGTTACAAAAGAAATTTTATTGAAATGGTCTTTGCTACAGGAAGGTCGTATAAGGTGTGGTATAACAGGAATGTACGTTGAGGCCACTACTTCTGAAGTTGTATTAGCTTGTCCGAATAGATATGCTAAATTAAGTTCCACTGGAGCTCCGATGGAACAAGTTTGGGAGCTCCAGTCTCAGAGGCCTGGTAGTGGTACGCTTGATGTAGAGTGCTTGCACAAAGGGCCTACGTTGGTAAACTTTAGTACTTATTTTTATCGCGACGTGTATAGTTTTACACATGTAGTTTTGACAGAGACAAAGGCAGCATTCCTGCTTGATACTAAAATTTTATATTTTCTCTACTTTACGCTAAATGTGTTCAGCAGTAATGTTTTGGCATTTAATGGTTACCGCTTACTAAAGTGAATTGCATTCGTGACTTATTCTCAATCCACAAAATCAAACTCAAATTCACCTTTCACCTGACAGTGTGGGCTTTTACGTGATATTGAAAAGAGATTGTAAAACGTTCAGTTAAGATGAAAATGGAATGCTTTTTCTATTTGCATTTCGATATTCTTCAAAAGCAGCAGAACTTTTGTGCGTAATGTCTGAGCACCAGATATTCGTAATTGTTGCAGAAGAATGTGTTTTAAGAAAAAATTTTGCTTTAGACCTGGGCTCTTTGGTAACTTTTCACTGCTTACTAACGTCTGGCGAACTGTTGTATGAAGAATTTTCTTAAATTCATAAGATTATGACCTCCGCTCATATTTTCATTCTTTATAAGTTTTTTCGGCAAAGTTTTTAATTCTTTTTGGACTGACAAGAATAAATCAGTATATTTATTCCAATAAATAAAAGATAAAAACTTTGCAAATTAGTAGGTCTTGTCCACAAAATCTGGCTTTGAAAAAAGTTATTTTTTGAAAGCAGTCTATTTTGTATGGCAAAATGCGCACAGTTGCAAAGCAATTACCACATGGCTAGGAAAATTATAGCTGATCCAAAAATTTTTATTGCTCTTCTTGTGTCACCATGACTAGTCTAATCTATTCGGGACCTGGTAGTCCGGTAAAAGTTTAGAACTGCCGCTGGCTCGTTCATATGAAGTTTGTTGGTCGAACAAAGAGGTGTTCGCGCTGTGCAGAACATTGACGTCTTTTTCTTATCTCACTTGATGTTTTTTAGTTGTGATTTGCTACATTGTTTTGTTTAGAGGAAAGATCAATTGCCAAAGAATTAAGCAGTAGCTGCTGCTAGCAAAATAAAATTTGGGAAATTTTTTGGTACAAGACAGCTTTGTTTAATGATCATAGGATTTTTTAGATCGTTAGAGTCAGTGATCGTAGCAAGCGAGAACTGCAGACAAACTCTTCTCATCGTTCAGTGAGCTATAAAGCAAGGGGTTTTAACAAAAGCGCTGCAAAAACCTTAGCCTTTGAAGTTAATGTGTCTTTACGGAATGGTATGACTTGAAATTTGAATTTCAAGCGTAGCTGCTTTCGTTCGTTTTTTTTTTTCTTTTCTTTACTTTGGCAGGTAATTGAAGCAATGTTATAAAATTGCAGAAACGACTCACGTTACAGAATTAATTTACACTAAGAGAGAAAAACTGAGTTTATCTTGCGGCAGAAAAATTTTTTATTACTATGTAGATTTGAATAGATTTTGTTTAGGTTTTTTTTTAGTTCTTGAGAAGCAGTGATTTTCAGCAGTTTGAAATGTAGAGTTTTAGTTTATATCATTTGGCCTCTTCTTTTCAGGGCTTGGAATCTCGTTTGTTAATGGGCAACGAGAAGAGTTAGTTTATATGCGGTTTCAAGGGATTGCTTTGCACGCAAATCGTTCCGGTAATACGTATCAAATAACGGCAAGTGTGGAAATCATCCAGGTTCTCCTTTTTGAACAATTATTTCTGAGATAGGTTCACTTTTATTATTTTTTTAATACAAATTTTCTGGCTTGCGATTAGCAAATACTTTTTTTATTTTTTTCTGGGAGTAAAAATTGCTTTAGGCTGACAATCAGCTGCTCTTCACTGATAAGTGGCAAGTCCTCTACTGCCAGGAAAATGCATTATCTGGCGATCCATTACCTGCTGATCGTTATGTTGTACTGCCTGCTCTTAAGTTGGAAATGAACTGCACTCCTTGGGAGCACTACGTCTCTTTCGATGTTAGTTGATTAGTGAAACATATTCATCACCTTTCGTTATTTTTTCTTTTTTTTTAATGTTATTTTCCTGGAGTTTGGTCAATTTTTTGATTGCTGGGTGCTTGTTTTAGTGTTTCCGGTTAAAATTGTGCAACATGTCTGTTCAGCTGGATGAATTGCTAATGTGGAAAATCATACAATTTGTACAAGGTAATGGACTGTTATTACTCAGTTGTAATCACTATTATGACCTCTCCTTGTGGAGCATCTCTGCTATCTTTATCTAGTTTTACTGTTTAGCGGTTTTATATGTTTCTTATCTGGACCAATTAAATTTTATCCGGTTATTGTAAAGCGGAAACAATACGTCTATAATCGTTTTCGCTCTGAAAATGAGATAGCTTAGGTAACGCAGTTCAAAAACACAGGCACAAATTGCTCTTTAGAAACTTAACTCCTGACGTGTTCTGGTTTTAGATTCGTCGTAATTAAGCCACCAGTGACACCTTATTCATCCCTGTATTCATCTGTTTTTTGGCCAGAAGTGGCTCATTCTTTTTGTGTTGTATCTGTTGGAGCTGGCATGGTTACCTATCTGCTCCAGTTTAGCTAAGAATTGCAAAACTAGCTTGCTACTGATCTGTTTAAGTAAATTTTGAAGATACAGTGCTTGGATCAATCATGAGTTGAAGTGAAGTATTGAAAAAGAAGCGAAACATGTAAAATAAGGTTGTGAGCGACAGGTGTGTTTTGATAGTACAGTAGGTATAACTGCGTAGTATACAATTTTCAAACAGATCTTAGTGGAATTTACAGCAGTGAATGATGATAAATGACTTTTTTGATTTTTTTGGATGCAAATAAATTCTTGCGTGTTTACACTGGAGTA